TTTAAAAAGCGGTCTAAAGAATAAATCACAGAATTTAATCGAAAGAATTCAATAATACAATGCATACAGAATAGAGAGTCTTATCTAAAGTATAGATATATTGTACTCTATATATAGAGCTATAGAAAGAGCCAACAAATTATATACAAATTCCTTAGACTGAAGGCTAACTAAACACACATGAGTTGCACACTTGAGGGCATTTGAAAATTAATTCACTTGTAATAAAATGAAACTGGGTAAGAATGCAAAACCTTCATTATTAGATTTACAAAGATTTAAATCTAGGCCTAAATTTAGTATTTATTATGCGTGTAAATGATTGCACACTAAACGGCAAAAACTACATGACATGAAGGGATGGAAAGACACGAATCGATACAGACTTGAAAAATATGTCTCCTCGACTCCAACGCGTTTCTGCCGATCCATTGCAGCTCAGGTTTGGCGATAGACTTAGGTTCAGATTCTTGGCGTCGTTCACAAACAGCTCCAATCCGTGTCCGAATATAGTGACCGCTCTCTCGATTTCATCTAACAATCGTTGGTGTGTTGTATTGAAATGAACGCCTAAAATGAGATGTCATTCACAGTATCAGACAATAGCCAAAAAGCGCTGCGAAAGCCGTTAATGCCAATCGACGACTACAACTAGCTCTACAACACTAAACATTAGCCACTGATTTGTGTGCAATTATGGCCACAACCAGGGCTTCAAATAGTTGATTGCTTTCTCGCTTTTATTATTACTATATATCTAATGTCATGTATTTTTAGACCCTAATAATAAATGTTTAATTATTTATGTGGAGATATAAAATTACTAGAATTAATTGGCATATATTTTATATCAAAAGATTAAGATATTAAGAATAAATAAATACTGTGTCCAAAAATATCACCAAAATTGTAACATTCAATCAAGTAATTAATTGGAAACAAAACAAAACCCAAAATTACAACATTTCGGTTCAAAGCTTACAACTGTTTAAATGAGAAAAACACGAATAGAGGAGTAATAAGATATATACTAATCGAAGTATAGTATCACTCGAGAGAGAGAGCACAAAAACAACATACAAGACAGTAGCAGACATTAGTATCTAACCTAGCATTCCGGGCGGAAATTCACCAGGGGCGTAGTCGGCGGCGCCGCCCAAAACGCTCTGTGTCACGATCCACATGTAGTTCTTTCCGGTCATTTTGAGCTCTTCGGCGGCGGCGATGATCTCTTGGGCCTCTTCTTTGGTTGAATACAAGAGTATAACTCTGGCCTCACTTAATGACAGCTCCTGTAGCT